GGACTCTTCGCACCCTTCCCAGGAAAGGGGAATGAGAGCGGTTCAGCATGTCCAAAGATGTTGCAACTAGAATGAGATAAAAGTCAGTTCTCAGGCCTGCTCTGACAGAGTCTATTCGTTAGCCTTTTTGAAGCTCTCTTGCGCTGATAAAAGTAGCGGTTTGCCCATGCTTCTTGTGAGAAAACGGAGGAAAACTTTAGCTGTGGATTTTTAGAAGACAAAGGGAATTTTGGACAGTTTGAGGTCTGGTTGGGGGGGGGGTGACTTCGGGCCTAGGTGGGGTCACCTGTCCTCACTTTCCTTCAGTTTAGTCGTGTCCGACTCTTCGTGACCCCATGGACCAGAGCATGCCAGGCACTCCTGTCTTCCACTGCCTCCCGCAGTTTGGTCAGACTCATGCTGGTAGCTTCGAGAACGCTGAACAACCATCTTGTCCTCTGTCGTCCCCTTCTCCTTGTGCCCTCAGTCTTTCCCAACATCAGGGTCTTTTCCAGGGAGTCTTCTCTTCTCATGAGGTGGCCAAAGTATTGGAGCCTCAGCTTCAGGATCTGTCCTCCCAGTGAGCACTCAGGGCTGATTTCCTTAAGAATGGAGAGGTTTGATCTTCTTGCAGTCCATGGGACTCTCAAGAGTCTCCTCCAGCACCATAATTCAAAAGCATCAATTCTTCAGCCTTCTTGATGGTCCAGCTCTCACTTCCATACATCACTACTGGGAAAACCATAGCTTTAACTATACGGACCTTTGTTGGCAAGGTGATGTCTCTGCTTTTTAAGATGCTGTCTAGGTTTGTCATTGCTTTTCTCCCAAGAAGCAGGCGTCTTTTAATTTCGTGGCTGCTGTCACCATCTACAGTGATCATGGAGCCCAAGAAAGTAAAATCTCTCATAATTTATTATTTATACCCCGCCCATCTGGCTGGGTTTCCCCAGCCACTCTGGGCGGCTTCCAATAAAACACTAAAATGCAATAACCTATTAAACATTAAAAGCTTCCCTAAACAGGGCTGCCTTCAGATGTCTTCTAAAAGTTTGGTAGTTATTTTTCTCTTTGACCAAAGTGGGTGGGTGTGCGTTCCACAGGGCGGGTGCCACTACTGAGAAGGCCCTCTGCCTGGTTCCCTGTAACTTGGCTTCTCGCAGTGAGGGAACCGCCAGAAGGCCCTCAGCACTGGACCTCTGTGTCTGGGTAGACCGATGGGGGTGGAGACGCTCCTTCAGGTATACTGGACCGAGGCCGTTTAGGGCTTTAAAGGTCAACACCAACGCTTTGAATTGTGTTTGGAAATGTACTGGGATTCCATGGACCAGAGCACGCCAGGCACTCCTGTCTTCCACTGCCTCCCGCAGTTTGGTCAAACTCATGCTGGTAGCTTCGAGAACACTGTTCAACCATCTTGTCCTCTGTCGTCCCCTTCTCTAACATCAGGGTCTTTTCCAGCGAGTCTTATGAGGTGGCCAAAGTATTGGAGCCTCAGCTTCAGGATCTGTCCTTCCAGTGAGCACTCAGGGCTGATTTCCTTAAGAATTGATAGGTTTGATCTTCTTGCAGTCCATGGGACTCTCAAGAGTCTCCTCCAGCACCATAATTCAAAAGCATCAATTCTTCGAATGCCCGTGCTGATTTGCTGATCGTGTGACATGTAATTTTGCCTATGTGTGTGTTTTTCCCCCAGTTGCTTTTTCGATTGAGGCGTTCTATAGACGGCGGTGGTTTGGTCGATGATTTGTTAATCATCTTATATTATGAACACTGCATTCGCGATGTTATTGGTAAGCCACCTCGAGAGTCAGTTGAAGGAAAACAGCACAGAGATGCAATAAATCACATCCAAAGGTTCCCTCTAGTCTCGCTCCAAGCCCCCGTCGCCTCCTCTGCAGGACAGCGGCATGGGAAAAAGTGAGAAAAAGAGCTATCTCTATAACTCTGCACCACAGATAGAGGGATGGTGCAATTGTTCGGAGAAGGAGCTTCCAGGCTCGATGATGATGATATTTTGAGGGGGATGTCTTCTCATCTGGGGCTACAGTGAGAAAGCAAGGAGTCTAAAGTAAACGTTTTTGCAGTATGTATGTCCTAAATCATGGGTAGGCAAACTAAGGCCCAGGGCCAGATCTGGCCCAATCGCCTTCTAAATCCAGCCCGCAGACTGTCTGGGAATCAGCGTGTTTTTACATGAGTAGAATGTATCCTTTTATTTAAAATGCATCTCTTGAGTTATTTGTGGGGCCTGCCTGATGTTTTTACATGAGTAGAAGGTTAACTGTGACTTTAAAGAAGAATGGGAACCTTTTACGAAGTATTTAAAGAAGTAACAAACTGAACTGGACTCCTTGGCAAGTTTTGAATAAATACAAATTTTTTATTGGTAACATATAAATTGAGGATCTTTACAATTTTATAACATGCAGAGAATAACATGTGCTGAGAAACCAAGAGGAGGTGAGGGAAGTCTGGGGTGGGGGGGTTGGAGGGTGGGTTTTTTCTTTTTTAAGGGGGGAAGGGGGAGGGGAAAATGGGGGGAATGTGGATAATGTATTTTTGATAAATTGTTATGTTGAAATACCTAATAAAAAATATTTTTTTAAAAAAAATATGTGTGGGGCATAGGAATTTGTTCATTTCCCCCCTTCAAAATACAGTCCGCTCCCCCCAACAAGGTCTGAGGGACAGCGGACCGGCCCCCTGCTGAAAAAGTGTGCTGACCCCTTTCCTACATCTAGCCAAGAAACCCTGTATTGTAAAAGGTTGCCCCCATGGCAAGCGGTACATGGGGCACGTACACATTAAAAAAATTTCTTGCAAACCGTGCAATTTGGGTTTTATTTTTTTAAGCGATGTACAACGAACCACACCAAATACGAATAGGACTTAAGAAAAGAGCAGCAAGCCCCCCATCTCTTTGCTTCTGCAGTCTCCCCTCCCTCTACTGTTCCCCCCGCCCCATTTCCCAGGGGGGTGAGAAGAGGCAAGAAATGCTGCTGCCCAGACGCAGCTCAGCTCCGGCCCTGGACCTCCCTCCGTCGTTTCCTATGGGGCAAAGGCGTCTGAAATCAAGCTGCGCTCTAGCCTAGCGGCTGCCCCTGCGCGGGGAACCGGGAGCCCAGCCTCTGCCTCTTTCCCCCTTCCCCGCCAAGCAAAAGGCTTCTCTCCCTTTGGGGGCGCAGGCGCAGTAGCCGTCTCCCTTTTGTTGACGCCTTTAGGGAAAGGGAGGCGGTTCCCATGGCAACCGGGCAGCCGCCTTTCATGGGCTTTCTGAAAGCCCGGCGCGTTGGGTGACGTAGAAACCGGAGCGCGCGCGCGCCTTTCTTTGGCCTCCTGACGGCCTGGCGACGAAGGTGACGCGCCAAGCGCGCGCCAAAATTCGAAAAGCGGAAGCTGCCTGAGGGAAGAAGGAGTGGACGGGCCGGAAAGGGGTTTGGTGAGCGGCTGCTGCTTTCAGCTCTGGGGTTGCCCCACATGAGGTGGCAGGTGGGGGTGGGCAGTGCCGGATATAAGCTAAACAAGCTATAGCTTAGGGGCCTACTCTTTTAGCCGCCCCCCCCAATCACTATTAATATACTTCTTAATTGTATTTCAGTTCAACAATTACTTTGATAAAACACATATTTTGTTATGTGCAAATGGCTTTAGATACCTATTAGGTCCATAAATTACCATATAGACATCACTGAAACAGCGACAAGACGGCAAAATCTCTATTTCTATATCAAAATAAACGTAAAGTGGTAGCAGCAGCAACAAAACTCAAAAGGAAATAAGACAAGGAGAAAAACGGGGAACTCGGGGGGGGGGGAACCCCTCACGGAGTGAGTAAACCCAAAGCAAAATAAAGAGTAAAAATAGCGGAGGGGGAACAACGCTACCACAAAAGTAAAGGGAAGACAGAAGAACAGAAGAAACATATAGAGAGAGTGTAAAGAAATCTCTCAGGTTGCAATTAAACTATTTGAAAAGCATACGATCTGAAACGGACTTTCTAGAATTATAATTACTTTGATAAAATGCATATTTTGTTATGTGCAAATGGCTTTAGATACCTATTAGGTCCATAAATTACCATATGACATATATTCAATACAAAAAACAGCGACAGTCTGCTCCTGACAAAGGACAGCTGGATATATAAAGGGACCTATTACCTTCAGTAGCTTAGGGCCTCATCAAACCTAAATCCGGCCCTGGGTGAGGGTGTTGAAAATGAGGCATATCTCCATGACATGCTTGATTTCTATGAGAAGAGATGATGGTGATTGTTATTGGTTAAAGGGGGTTGGACTAGATGACCCTAGGGGTCCCTTTCAACTCTATGATTCTATGAACATGTAGTACCTGTACTGTAGTCTGAATGGGTGTAGGCTACATTATAGGCTGGCCATGCTTGAGAACTACATAATGTCTAACTCTGGCTCTAATGAGAGCATTTGTGGCCCAGGGATGCGAGGTATCCTATCCAGTGTACAGTACTGCTGTTATCTGTGGAGTTTTTTTTAAAATCCCTTTGCTGCTAAGTATTTATTATCATTATTTTTAAACAAATATATGGGCTGCTTCACAGTTTAATGCCTTCAAAGTGATGCTCAGCACAGAAACCGGCTAAAATGCAGATTCTTTCAAACAATAATCATGTAAACAAACTCTTTAAAAACATTTTTTTCAGATATATAATTGTTCCATAGGTCGCACCTTCTTAAATGAAAATGTCTTCAATAGGTAGTGGTGCCCTTGGATTTTATAATTAATGTATGTTGATTCAAAAGAAAATTCCCTTATGTTCAATGGAACTTACTCTGACATTTGCATAGGACTGCAAACTAAGTATCTTCTCTACTCACTGTGCATTGGATCATTAGATTTCCATGCTAGCTCACTCCAAGTGTTTTACCTACAAGAAGTGGTCATCATTTCATTTCATATATGGATTACTTGCAAGGTGTAATGTTACTTGCCACATATGAATTGAAAGCAATGTCCTTTGGTTTAACTCTGGTTTCAGTGCTGAGATGAGCAGTGAACCCAGAGGGAAAGGTTCTGGGCGAGGAAGAGGTGGCTTTCAGAGATGGCGAGGAAGAGGAGCATGGCAAGGGAGAGGAAAAGGACGTGGACAGAGAGGAGAGGGGAAAAGTGCTGGGAAGTCAGAGTCTGGTATGTTAATTCCACAACATGATTTGCTTTTGTATTATTATTTTTTAAAGGAATGTGTTTGTTGTTGGAAGAATAGCGTAAAGAAAATGTGTCCTGTGATAACATAATGCAAGGCCTGGAGCTTGGGGTTGCCATATCGTGGTCTTAAGATGGAGGGAAGTTTTAAAATCTGAACCCCTTGCAAATGTTGCCTCTGTGTACTGTATGAGCAACTATTATCTTTTAAAAAATAACTTTGTTCTAAACTGTATTTTATCTATTACTTTGAATTTATAAATTTATAGCCTGTCCTGCCTTCCTAAGGGGAGCCCAGTGAGCCTTTAAACAATAAAACTGCATAAAACATTATGAAATATTACAGGCAGAGCCAGTTTCTTATTCCACAGGGTATGCTAGGAAAGAAGGCATAAATGTCATATGGTAAATATGACCCTGTGGACAGAACAGGGACATTTGTAATGATTGTTCTTGTTTTGTGTATTTACCTTTTGCTATTGCATTTTTGTGGATCTTTCTATATTGCTATATATTTAAATATTTAATGAAAATGATATTATACAGTAATATATTGCAGACATCAGTTAAAAGCAGCATATGTAGGCAGATATATCTATGAAAAATTGAGAACTGAAAATTGACTAATATCACTAACTTTCTTGGGAAATGCTTTTCAGCTCTGCCTCAGTTCATTCAGATGACTCTGGATCAGATTCCTACTTACAGAGGCTGGAAACTATATTTCTCTGAAGGTAAGCTTTTTCTGTAGATATATACAGAACTGACTTGATGGCTTGAGAATAGAATAACATTTTGGCTTGTATTTAATTCTCCTCTTTAACTCAATGCCTGATGAAGCCAAATCCTTGGTACTGTATGTTATAAAATACATACTTACGCAAAAAGGACAAATTGAAGTTAATGAGCTTACTTGTACATATTTGCTAGTAGTTTATCATCTTGTCACTTTGTATGCAAAGCACTATGAATGTTTATGGCGCTATATAAATAAATGGTTTATGTGAGCTGTGTTCAGTAAGTCAATATGCAAACAACCCTTTTTTATATGGTGGTTCCAGTGTGACCAGATATTTTCCATTTCCCTCATGAATGCTACTTGCTCAACAGCTTCCTTGTCATTTAAACTAAGCCTATGTTTGTGTACTATGAAGTAAATCCAGAAAGAATGAGCTGGTTTGTGCACAGTTTTTTTAGGATGGCATTTGAGGAAATGTAATTTCTAATAGAGAAATTGTGTTTTTGAATTCTAAGCAAGATGTTTAAAAGCTGCAGCACCAATGTTAAATAACTAATGAAAATTGTCCAATTCAGCATATGATGACAACTCCCCTTTTGTTCAGAAGATTGAAGCATTTGAGAAATTTTTTGTGTCTCGAATAGAGCTTTATGATAAGGTAAGTCTTCATAATGTGATCTCTTTCTCATTCCTTATCTCTTATCCCCACCTTCCACTATCTTATAATCTGTAATAATAATGATAATGATAATTTATTATTTATATCCCGCCCATCTGGCTGGGTTTTCCCAGGCACTCTGGGTGGCTCCCAATAGAATATTAAAAACACAATAAATACATCAAACATTAAAAGCTTCCCTAAACAAGGCTGCCTTCAGATGTCTTCTAAAAGTCAGATACAGTGGTGCCTCGCAAGACGAAATTAATTCGTTCCGCAAGTTTTTTCTTCTTGCGAGTTTTTCGTCTTGCGATGCACGGTTTCCCATAGGAATGCATTGAAAATCAATTAATGCGTTCCTAGGGAAACCACCTTCAGACCAGGTCCGGGGACAGTCTGTCCCCCGACCTCTTCTGAAGGCTGGGGGGGGGGGGAACAAGGGCTTTTTTCCCACTGCCAGCCTTCAGAAGGCTGTTCTGAAGGCTGGCGGTGGGAAAAAAAGCCCTTCTTCCCACCTCCCGCCCCGCAAGCTCCGGGGACCTCCTGCCGGGCGCGCGAAGCTTGCTGACACTCGCCCGAAGCAGGGGAAGCCCTCCGGAGGGCTCCCCGTGCTTCGGGCGACAGGCTGCCGCCCCAAGCCTCGCGCACCCGGCGGGACCTCCTGCCGGGTGCGCGAGGCTTGCTGACACTCGCCCGAAGCAGGGGAAGCCCTCCGGAGGGCTCCCCGTGCTTCGGGCGACAGGCTGCCGCCCCAAGCCTCGCGCGCCCGGCGGGACCTCCTGCCGGGCGCGCGAGGCTTGCAGACACTCGCCCAAAGCAAGGGGAGCTCTCCGAAGGGCTCCCCGTGCTTCGGGTGACAGGCTGCCGCCCCAAGCCTCGCGCACCCGGCGGGACCTCCTGCCGGGTGCGCAAGGCTTGCAGACACTCGCCCGAAGCAGGGGAAGCCCTCCGGAGGGCTCCCCGTGCTTCGGGTGACAGGCTGCCGCCCCAAGCCTCGCGCACCCGGCGGGACCTCCTGCCGGGTGCGCGAGGCTTGCAGACACTCCAAAGCAAGGGGAGCTCTCCGAAGGGCTCCCCGTGCTTCGGGTGACAGGCTGCCGCCCCAAGCCTCGCGCACCCGGCGGGACCTCCTGCCGGGTGCGCAAGGCTTGCAGACACTCGCCCAAAGCAAGGGGAGCTCTCCGAAGGGCTCCCCGGGCTTCGGGTGACAGGCTGCCGCCCCAAGCCTCGCGCACCCGGTGGGACCTCCTGCCGGGTGCGCGAGGCTTGCTGACACTCGCCCGAATCAGGGGAAGCCCTCCGGAGGGCTCCCCGTGCTTCGGGCAACAGGCTGCCGCCCCAAGCCTCGCGCACCCGGCGGGACCTCCTGCCGGGTGCGCGAGGCTTGCAGACACTCGCCCGAAGCAGGGGAAGCCCTCCGGAGGGCTCCCCGTGCTTCGGGCGACAGGCTGCCGCCCCAAGCCTCGCGCACCCGGCGGGACCTCCTGCCGGGCGCGCGAGGCTTGCAGACACTCGCCCAAAGCAAGGGGAGCTCTCCGGAGGGCTCCCCGTGCTTCGGGTGACAGGCTGCCGCCCCAAGCCTCGCGCACCCGGCGGGACCTCCTGCCGGGCGCGCGAGGCTTGCAGACACTCGCCCAGGGACGCGGACTTATAAAAAATATTGGGGGGGCCCGGGAAAGCTCATGAATAATAAATAAGCTCATGAATATGCAAATAAAGTGGCTCCGGCCCTAAATAGGGCAAGCCACGCCCCCCCCGCCAGCCAATCGGCTGGCTGGGAGGTGTGGCCAGTCGGGATTCCCCTGTTCTCGTGGGGGCCAGGAGGAAGGAAATTCCCCCCGGCAGTGCCTTGGCAGTGGCGGTGGTGCTGCGAAGCAGCGAGGCAGGAGCCCCCGCCCCCCGGGGATTCCCTAATCTCGCGGGGGACGGCCGGGGCTCTCCGACTAGGGCGCGCGGCTGGCTGGCTGGCTGGCGAGGGAGCAGGTGGGGAGGAGGCGGGGACGGCGGCGGCGCTCTGCTGGAAGGGCGCCCGAGATTATTGGGGGGCTGAGCCCCCCCAAAAAATTTTTTGAGGGGGCTCGAGGCCCCCTCAGGCCCCATGGAGTCGGCGCCTATGCACTCGCCAAAGCAAGGGGAGCTCTCCGGAGGGCTCCCCGTGCTTCGGGCGACAGGCTGCCGCCCCAAGCCTCGCGCACCCGGCGGGACCTCCTGCCGGGTGCGCGAGGCTTGCTGACACTCGCCCGAAGCAGGGGAAGCCCTCCGGAGGGCTCCCCGTGCTTCGGGCAACAGGCTGCCGCCCCAAGCCTCGCGCACCCGGCGGGACCTCCTGCCGGGTGCGCGAGGCTTGCAGACACTCGCCCGAAGCAGGGGAAGCCCTCCGGAGGGCTCCCCGTGCTTCGGGCGACAGGCTGCCGCCCCAAGCCTCGCGCACCCGGCGGGACCTCCTGCCGGGCGCGCGAGGCTTGCAGACACTCGCCCGAAGCAGGGGAAGCCCTCCGGAGGGCTCCCCGTGCTTCGGGTGACAGGCTGCCGCCCCAAGCCTCGCGCACCCGGCGGGACCTCCTGCCGGGTGCGCGAGGCTTGCAGACACTCGCCCAAAGATTTTAAAATGCTGGGGGTCGGGAGCGAAGCGTTCGCTCCCGCCCGCCAGCATTTTAAGATCGCCCGGGGCAGCGGAGAAGTCTCCGCTGTCCCGGGAAGGCAGGCGGGGGGGAGCAAAGACTTTTGCCCCCCGCCGGCCTTCAGAAGAGGTCCAGGACCTCTTCTGAAGGCCGGCTGTGGGCGAAAGTCTTTGCTCCCGACCGCCAGCAATTTTAAAACAGGTCCCCGGAGATTTCCCTATGGGCTTTCGTCTTGCGAAGCAAGCCCATAGGGAAATTCGTCTTGCGAAGCGCCTCCAAAACAGAAAACCCTTTCGTCTTGCGGGTTTTCCGTCTTGCGAGGCATTCGTCTTGCGGGGTACCACTGTAGTTGTTTATTTCCCTGACATCTGAAGGGAGGATGTTCCACAGGGCAGGCGCCACTACCGAGAAGGCCCCCTGCCTGGTTCCCTGTAACTTTGCTCCTTGCAGTGAGGGAACCACCAGAAGGCCCTCGGAGCTGGACCTCAGTGTCTGCGCTGAACGATGGGGGTGGAGACTCTCCTTCAGGTATACTGGGCTGAGGCCATTCAGGGCTTTAAAGGTCAGCACCAGCACTTTGAATTGTGCTTGGAAACGTACTGGGAGCCAATGTAGGTCTCGGAGGCCGCTCCCAATCACCAGTCTAGCTGCTCCATTCTGGATTAGTTGTCGTTTCCAGGTCACCTTCAAAGGTAGTCCCACGTAGAGCATATTGCAGTAGTCCAAGTTTGTAAATGATACCTTGTTTTGGATACCTTTCCTTTCTGAGGCTTCCATCACAACCACAAATAGTAATATTTTCCATGGTGATGAGTTTCCTAGAAAGGCTTAACAAGTTCTGCAGTGGCCTTTAGAAGATATGTAAAACCCTGTATTGTCAGATGTGGAGGTTGTGGTCTGTTTGGATCCTTGCTGCTGACCAAGTCCTTACTAAGTTCTATAGTGTTCAAATGTATATTTTAGGATGCATTTATGATTTTATTATGTGTCTTGAAGGCCTTGGTGGGCATAAAGTGAGGCTTCTATTAATTATTAATATGTGTGCAATCAATTAGGAAACTTTATTAGCAATACAATTTCAGGACTGGAGGGGTTCTGAACAACTTCTTGTCGGCTTCCTTGCTCTCACAGGATCTTTATGTGCTAAACCTCTTGCTCTCACACACCTCACTCGTATCCCATGTTGGCGGTCTTTCTGAAAACAATTCAGACAAGCCTTTGAAAATACTGTGACAAATTCACACAGTTCTCTTCTACAGGATGAAATAGAAAGAAAAGGAAGTATTCTTGTGGATTATAAAGAGCTGGCACATGATAAAGAATTAATGGAATCAATGCCCGATATTGCTTCTGAATTAAGAGATATGCCACAAAAGATATTGGACTGCATGGGCCTAGCTATACATCAGGTAAATACCTCAAGCACATGGTGAGCAGTAAAATTTTGAATGTTAAAACATTCACAGACTTGAATGCATGTACTTTTGGTGGGACGAAGAGGCAAAAAGTGTCATTTGAGGTTCTTTTTTAACAAGTGTGTGTGAAAGGAAGAGAAACCCATACTTCTAAATTTCTCATAGAACCAGCCTGGGAACTTCCCTCTGCATGACTCTTTTATATTTTGATAACCAAATACTTTTCTCTGTGAGCCAGCAGAAAGAAACTTATTTTTTTGTGACTGTGCTGGAGTGTTTTCAAAGAAATAAACAGCTAACCAGTTTTCGATTTTCTAACTTGGCTGCTTGTTTGGAATACAGAGCTTATGAAATCATAAGACCTTTTGGTTTCAGGGGTCTGAAGTCTATTTTTGTGTTATAACTTGGATTTTATGCATGCTTGACATAAAATGACTTAGGATTGCAATACCTCAAGGACCACCTCTCTCCATATAAGCCGACCTGGACCCTTTGTTTATAATCTGAGGCCCTTCTTTGTGTGCCTCCTTCATGACAGGTCCAGAGGATGGCAACATGAGAACAGGCCTTTTCTGCAGGGGCTCCTTGTTTGTAGAATGCTCTCCCCAAGGAGGTTCAACTGGTGCCTTCCTTGTCTTTAGGTGCCAGGCAAAAATGTTCCCCATCAACCAAGCCTTTGGATGGTTAATATTCTACAGCCTTTTAAATGTGTTTGTGTGAGGGGGGTTATTATTTTGTTGTTTCTCTTTCAGATATTTCTGCTTTCGTCTCGTGTTTTTATATTGTGAATCACCCTGAGATCTTTGTAAATAAATATAATAAGCAAGCAAGCCCCTTACTTTGGATTAAACAAAACTACTCTCAGAGCCAATATTGTGCCTAACAAAAGGATCAGAAAATGGTATTTAAGAAAGGGGTGTGTGTAAAATGACAATCAAGAATGCAGAGTTTTGATTCTTGAAACCTTTGTGATTTTTTTTTTGCACTGGTTGGAAAATGCTGTTCAGTGTTACCAGCATCTTTATATGATGGTCAAGGCTTCCTGAGTATTTTTTTAATGTTATAGGTGCTAAGCAAAGATCTTGAAAAACATGCCGCACAACTTCAGGAACAAGAGGGACTGTCCATTGATGAAGAACCCATAATTAATGTACCATATATTCATGCAAGGTAGCTATTGCTTTAAAAAGAACAAGTTTTCTTGAAAGCCTCAAACTCCACATGCCACATGTTATTTGCGAAGCAATGCATTTCCCAGATATTGGGGAAATTAGTCTTAAGTTCCATCAAAATTATGATGAATAGCTTGTTGATTCTAACCCGCCCCATTGCCAGACTGAGATTTTCAATCTGATCCTTTGCATGTTTTCTCTGAAGAAAATCCCTTTGTGTTGATGTAGTAGTTAGTTCCAAGTAGGTGTGCATAGTAGCTCTGTAGATTTTAACATGATTAATTTCCCCTGACATTCATCTAATTTTCCATATTGTTTTATTTTAGAGTGTACAACTATGACCCACTTACTCAGCTTAGGAATATTCGAGCCAATTGCTATGGGAAATTTGTGGCTTTGCGTGGGACTGTGGTGCGTGTCAGTAACATTAGGCCTATCTGCACCAAGATGGCATTTATATGCAGTGCCTGTGGAAATACTCAGAGTTTCCCTTTACCTGATGGCAAATATACTCTTCCTACAAAGGTAATGAACACTTTAAAACCATTTTTTTTAGTCACCGTTTATTATTAGACTGCTGGGACTTTAAAACATCAGGCAATAAAGGGAAATGGGTTAACTTCGGAAAAAAACTAGGCGGAATTGCTGAAAATAAACTTGTCACGTCTTCTGGTTTACTCCCAGTTCTATACGTGGTTCATAAATTAAGCTAAAGCATTATTTATCTTCAGAGCATTGTTTGCCAAAGAAGGATTTATGCAAGCAGAAGCCTCTGAGAATTAGCGTGGATGAGCTTTCTGCTCCTCCAAAACAAATGGGATAACGTCAAGTATTATAGTTGCCAGGGTGGCAGCCATGTTAAGTTTCTTGCTGCAAAAATGATGAATCTTGTGAAACCTTTAAGGTTGATAAAAATATTGTGGCATAAGTTTTTGTAGAGCAGATGAAGTGCAACTGATGAAGTGGACTCTGGTCCACCAAAGCTTATTCCATAATAAATTTGTTAGTCTTTAAAGTGCCACAAGATTTTTTGTTTAAGTACTTTATTTAATATAAACTTTTTTGTGCTGAACTTGAACATGCATTTTTTAGTGTCCTTTGCCTGAATGTCATGGACGATCATTCACTCCTGACAGAAGTTCTCCTTATACAGTTACTGTGGACTGGCAGTCTATTAAGTAAGTATATTTCGGTTTTGCTTTGTGTTTTTTTTGAATCTGATATTTTGTGTGTGTGTGTGTGTGTGTGTATGATACAGATTGCAATTAAAGCTTTGCATGTATTTATTAAAAATTTACATGTAAGAGGAAATGGCCATGTTCTTCTAAGGCAGTGGTCGGCAACCCGCGGCTCCGGACCCGCATGTAGCTCTTTTACACCTTTGCCGCGGCTCCGGGGCGGATACTAGCGAGGGGAGGAGGCGCATTGTGCGCCCTGACACTCCCCACTGTGGCGGGCGCTGTACTGGCTGTGACGTCGCATGGGGGCGGTGCGTGCGTTAGTCACGCACCGTCCCGACGTCGCCTTCCCGGTTTTGCGGCTCCCAGTTTTTTTTTCTTCGGAAACGGGTCCAAGTGGCTCTTTTTGTCTTAAAGGTTGCAGACCCCTGTTCTAAGGGAATCAAATAATTTCATTGTAATATGCCTCCTCTTCTTCTTTTTAAGTTGTGCTGAATAAAAAGCCATTCACAAATGAAGGCTGCAGTCCTAAAGCTGTTATTTGTTCAGCTGAGAGACCCTAGAAAGTGCTGCTCTGCTGGGGGACAGGGAGGCCTGGCCCACTCTTATGCTAATAGAGGCCCCCTGATATGTCTGTGGAAGGCTTCCTGGGGAACGATGTCCTGCTGGTGGTGGGGACTGAAACTGAAAGTGTTTGAGCGAGGCTGGGGGTTCCTAGGATCCACAGGCCCCCAAATGGGCATGGTGAATACCTTACCATTGCAAATTGGGATGTTAGTGATGACTATTGTGGATAGCCTAGTTTGTGCTTCCTCACTGATACTCATCCCCCATAACTGTTTAGCATATTTCCTTTGATTTAGACCAGGGGGTGTAAATTTTGTCTATCTTTACTGTAATCTGTCAAGGCTCAGGGAATCCTATCCTTCCCCCCTGTAGCAGTAAAAAAAACAGATAGCACGAAGAGTCCTTACCACAGAATTTATTCAGTATTCATAGAGGGAGACAAAGGAATGTAGTCTTTATGCCATGATGGCATTGCTCCAAGTAAAGTCCCACCCCCACATCATCTCTATTCCTCGTCACCACCGCGCTGATTAATCTGAGCTTTCTGTCTCTGAGCTCTCTCTTCTACTACCCATAATGCCTGCCTGGTTCGGGGTGTGTGTGTCAGGAATGCTTTCTGAGGGCATTGAGTCTGTCAGCTGTCTCTTCCCTAGTGCTTCTTCTTAATCTTCCTGCTGGTCCTCTTCCAATATTTCCCAGCTTCTCCGCTCTGCAGCCTCTGAACTATGCCCTTCTGCAAACCACTGTTCTAAATCTATACTGTCCTCCTGTTCTTGGGAATGTTCAGGAGAACAGGGGACGGCCCCCACCATTTGTCTTCAGTCCAGCCCCTGATAAATATCACAGATACAAAAGTATTATAACATAATTCTAGGATTCAAGAGCTCATGTCCGATGATCAGCGAGAAGCGGGAAGAATTCCTCGAACAATAGAATGTGAACTGGCACAGGACCTGGTAGACAGCTGCGTTCCGGGAGATGTGATTACCGTCACAGGCATTGTCAAAGTGTCAAACACTGAGGAAGGTACACCATAACTGGCCATAGCTTTTGTATGTTGACATTTGTGCAAGTTTTCTCTGTTTTTGGCAGAGTGAGGGGAGGCGACCAAAGTAATCCAACTAACTGACAATGGTATCTACGCACGTGAATTTAATGTAGTAAGAAATTATCTTAGGGAGAGCTGCAATAGTGTAGTGCAGTGGGTCTCAATTAGTGAGGACCCCCTATTTTTCAAAACCCAAGCCACGGACCCCCTATATTTGAAAATTTTGATAGCTCTATGGTAGTTACCTCCGCAAAGTAAATTTTTGAACATAATGTGGGGTAGCCCCTAATAAGCAAAGGATTTTAGGTATACAGTGGTACCTCGGGTTAAGAACTTAATTTGTTCCGGAGGTCCGTTCTTAACCTGAAACTGTTCTGAACCTGAAGCACCACTTTAGCTAATGGGGCCTCCTGCTGCCGCCGCGCGCCGGAGCACGATTTCTGTTCCCACCCTGAAGCAAAGTTCTTAACCCAAAGTACTATTTCTGGGTTAGCGGAGTTTATAACCTGAAGCGTATGTAACCTGAAGTGTATGTAACCCGAGGTACCACTGTACTAGAAAACAGACTAGGGCTGAGCAATGTATGGTTTTCAACATTGTGAGATATCAGCACCTAAACATTGCAATACAGTGGCACCTCGGTTTAAGAACAGCCCTGTTTACGAACGATTCGGTTTACAAACTCCACAAAACCGGAAGTAGTGTCCCGGTTTGAGAACTTTACCTCGGTCTAAGAATGGAATCCAAACAGAAGAAGGGCACCGGCAGCAGGAGGCCTCATTAGGGAAAACACGCCTCGGTTTAAGAATGACTTTGGTTTAAGAACGGACTTCCGGACGGATTAAGTTCATAAACCGAGGTACCACTGTAATCTGATAGATCCCGATGTCTGAAATTGGAGATCAAGCGTGGGGATGAGGGAAGGAGCAGCTGCGGAGATCGGATGGGAGAGAGGAGGAGAGGAAACAGAGTCACCTCCACCGCATGATTTTAGTGGGAGGGGATGGGGGGGTGCATCAAGCCACTGTCTGTGAGGGCAGCCAGTGAAGATCCACATCCACCGTGGCTGCTACTACTTTCCTGCTGTCTGAGAAAAGCTGCTCCGTGGTGCCTTGAAGTGAGGGCGATCAGCTGCCCTCGCCTCCCTTAGTGTGAGGAAAGGCAGCTTTGAACAGCAGCGTTATCGCTGAGATCATTGTACGATATCGTCAGTGCCTTGAAAATGGCTGCCCTCATGCGAGGAGCGATATATTGCTGCATATTGCCAGGTCAAGATCGTTATCGTGGTGTGATTTCAAAAACGATTTTGGTCAGTACAGTGGTACCTCGGGTTACATACGGTTCAGGTTACATACGCTTCAGGTTACAGACTCTACTAACCCAGAAATAGTACCACGGGTTAAGAACTTTGCTTCAGGATAAGAACAGACCTCCGGAATGAATTAAGTACTTAACTCGAGGTACCACTGTATATTGAAAGTGTTATAGTTCTTGTATATATCTTGGATTCAGGAATTATCACCCTGTGTTTGAAACTAGTTTTGTTTTTTAACTGTAATATCCCCATATAGAGAGAATAATGTGATTGTTGCTGCGATATTTTAACAGGAGCATCTAGAAATAAAAATGATAAATGTGTCTTCCTGTTGTACATCGAAGCAAACTCTATCAGCAACACTAAAGGACAGAAAGTCAAGGACTATGAACATGGAGTAAACCACCAAGCCGGCATGGAGTTTTCACTTAAAGATCTTTATGCTGTCCGGGAAATACAAGCAGAAGAGAACCTGTTTAAGCTCATTGTCAAGTATGTCACTTCTTGCATGTCATTGTGAATATTAGACTTTGTGTACTATCTTGTTTCAACAATCCCAGACGATCCACTCATGACGCCCTCTCCTCTTCAGTTTTTGACTTCCAGACCCCTTAATGTAAGGAAAGAAGGAAGTGTGTGCATGAATCTGTTTTTCTATGAGATAGATTCTAAATCTATGTAACCTTTTTAAGCCTGTCTGCCGTCTGGGATCACATTGTGAACAGGACGTGAGTAAACTCTTTTATACTTTTATGAAGACTGTGTCGTGTCTTGTATTTTAAGAGGGAACTAAAGGGGAAATTACCAGGGTAATTATTATAGAGGTTCTAGCGAACCTGTGCACACGTTACCGTTGCGTACTAAAGGGGAATGTATGTAAACTCTGCTGATATTTTGGGAACTTGTTAGCACAAGTTGGATCAGGATATAATTAGTCAATATATCCTTTCCTGCACCCCAGAACATTCCCACAGAATCTCCTTTTAAAATAATCCTTGAAACATCCAACTTGGTCTAAGCTGGAACAACTTGTTCTGTTCTCCATTCTACTTATCTGGAACTAGATGGCTGACTGCTAAGTTTAGGACATGAAGCAGATTGTACAGGATTTCTTGGGGGGGGGTGGCTATTAGAAGAGGAATCTTAAATGCTCATTCTATGCTCCTTGGAGTCTAGGACATTGTTCTGAGCTATCTGATGCTTTGGTAGGGGAGACAATGAGTGCAGGTACTGTTTGTGTAACTAGCACACATTGAGAAGTGTCCATAAATACACTTTCCAATGCTAAAACACTTCTGATATTAACTTATCTTGATCTCAACAGAAGATATATAGTGATTGAAATCAATGGGTAGTATTCAATGAAGTTTTAACCAGGGTAGACACATTTAAATTAATGAACATGTACATGTCTAAGTTAAATCCACTGATTTCAAAAGGTCTCCTCTGAGTAAAAGTTAGTTAATTCCACCCAATGGGTCTTAAAGTGCTGAACTTTGGCAGGATCATTGTATTGTTAAGAACTTAGGTTTCGACGCTTGCGTAGGAGTGGTAGTTGTGAGACTTGGTAAGAAAGCCCAAGCATCCTTTCTATTTCTGTAATTGCTATCAAGCTATTACCAGGGCAGTGTGAATTTCATAATTGTGTAAGGAAATTGATGTGATCATTGAGATCTAAAAATCTCAGCATTCTTTAAAAATGTCCTTTTTTTGTTACCAGCTGTTATAGATGCAGGAAGAAATTTGAAAATGTGTAGGCAATGCTTGTAAATTAGAAGCCGGGTTAGGGTGGCACTGTGGTCTAAACCACTGAGCCTCTTGGGCTTGCCAATCAGAAGGTCGGCGGTTTGAATACCTGACATTGTGAGCTCCCGTTGCTCTGTCCCAGCTCCTGCCAACCTAGCAGTTCAAAAGCACGCCAGTGAAAGTAAATAAATAGGTACTGCTGTGGTGGGAAGTTAAACAGCATTTCTGTGCAGTCTGGATTCCGTCACGGTGTTCCGTTGTGCCAGAAGCAGTTTAGTCATGATGGCAACATGTACTGGAAAGTTGTCTGTGGACAAACGCCGGCCTCCCTCAGCCTGAAAGCGAGATGAATGCCACAACTCCATAGTCGCCTTTGACTGGACTTAACTGTCCAGGGGTCCTTTACCTTTTACCTTTACCTACCTTTTGTGTACAAATAAATGTGGTTGATTCATTACCTTGTTATTATAGACCTCTGGTAAGGGAACCTAATATGCAGGAACAGGAGAGTAAAAGCAAGTTAAGAAACCCCAGTCTGGTCCAAGGTGCAAAGGACATAATACTCATGAACATGGTGAGCAATGTGTTGGCGTGCCAGGCAGTGTCTCCTTCTTATTCAGGTGAACAGCAGTTGTGGGCTGGTACATTGGCCAGCGTCTCTCTCCTTCAGCATCAGCATGACATCACAATGGCCTGTGTCTCTCCTTCTGGTGGGACACATCCCTGTGAGAACACAGTGGCCAGTCTGTGAAATAGGCAGCATCAGCATGAGATCACAGTGGCCAGTTTTTCTCCCTCGGGTGGCTAGCATGGGCCACAGTGGGCAGCCCCTGTCCTTCAGGCAGGGAGCATCATCTTGTGGGGAGAGGCATTCATTCATCTTCATTCCTCTTCCACTCAGGCAGGCAGTAGAATGTGGGCAGAATATTTCTCTTGCGGAAGCTGCCAAAAGCAGGTACATGTCAGCACAATCTCTTTCTCAGTGAGGTGGGCTTAGCTGGGAGCAGATAGTGGACCCTGTATGTTCTTCTCTTAGTGAGGTGGCCAGCAGAAGTATGAGTGATGTGGCCATCTCACTGAAATGGGCAGCAGCATGTGGACAGAGAAGCAGCAGGCAAGGCAAAGCGTAGGCAAGTAGGCAATCCATCTATTACAGGGCGTCTCTGCTTACAGGAAGTGGATGTGGGTGGCGCTGTGGTCTAAACCACTGAGCTTTTCGTGCTTGCTGATTGTGAGGTTGGCAGTTCAAGTCCATGTGAAGGGGTGAGCTCCCTTTGCTCTGTCCCAGTTACTGCCAACCTAGCAGTTCAAAAGCACACCAGTGCAAGTAGATAAATAGGTACCGCTGCAGCGGGAAGGTAAACGGTGTTTTTGTGTGCTCTGGCTTCCGTCATGGTGTTCCACTGTGCCAGAAGCAGTTTAGTCCTGCTGGCCACATGACCTGGAAAGCTGTCTGTGGACAATTGCCGGCTCCCTCGGCCTGAAAGCGAGATGAGCGCTGCAACCTCATAGTCGCCTTTGACTGGACTTAACTGTCCAGGGCTCCTTTACCTTTTAATTAGAAGTCAAACCAGGGGGGTATGGCTAGTAACTCAGTGCCCTACATAGCCCCTCTCCATGACTGCTAGGAGCAGAATAAACCGTGAACTGTTCATGCAGATTTGCTTAAATAGCACAACGTATGTAGAATTCAGTTTATGCTATGAAATCTATATTCTTTTAGCAAAACACTTGGGGGGGGTTATTGACACAGAACATGCACTGCCCTGGGTACTTGTTTTAAATTATGTGTTAATTTGGTTTTTCTCTTCCTTCTAGTTCTCTTTGTCCTACTATCTACGGTCATGAGGTAAGTGCGACCCAATGGAGAAATTCCGATGGCTGTTCTAAATGCTCACTGGAAAATGCCCCCCGTCTCCCCCATAACCTAGTTTTTGTCAACTGGTTGGCAATCCAGAATGAGTAACTTGGAATATAATATTGGGATGTTCTTTGTTCTTTTGTTTCCCTGCCCCTTGTAGGATTCAGTCAGTTATGTTAGCATTACAAAAAATAAATCCCATGTTTACTCATATGGCCTAGGCCTGTTTTGAAGCCCCCCGACAAATTGTACATTGTCTGCCTTTTCATTTTTAAAAATGTATGTTTTCACTTTTCAGTTGTTATGCTACGGTGGAAGTGTTTGTAGTTATTTTTATAGAAGTTTCTTGTTTCTATCTTCAATAAATAGATTTCACGTGAGTTTAAAACAATGAAGTGCCTTCCATAGTTCCAGTTACAGATAGGTAGCCGTGTTGGTCTGCCATGGTCAAAACAAAAAAAATTCCTTCCAGTAGCACCTTAAAGACCAACTAAGTTAGTTCATGGTATGAGCTTTCGTGTGCATGCACACTTCTTCAGATACACTGAAACAGAAGTTGCCAGATCCTTCTATATAGTGAGAAGGTGGGGAGGGGTATTACTCAGAAGGGTGGTGGGAATGGGTGATTGGCAGATAGCTGTGATGAGCCTGTTGACGACTCTTAACGACTGCAATAGGTCTTACAGGAAAAAGCAAGGGGTGAGAAGGTGAAAAATGGCTTTGTCATGTATAATGAGATAAGAATCCAATGTCTTTGTTCAGACCAGGTCTCTCCATGGTTTTAAGTTTGGTAATGAGTTGCAATTCAGCAGCTTCTCAAACTTAGTTGGTCTTTAAGGTCTTAGTTGGTCTTAGAACTAACTTAGTTGGTCTTTAAGGTGCTACTGGAAGGAATTTTTTTTTGTTAAAACAATGAAGCCATCAATCTTTTCATTGCCTTGTTTCTGATACACGCAGGTCCTGCTTTTTGAACACCATTTATTCCCAGGAAATCGTTTGTTAGGCAAGTTTTTACATAATGAGCTGACAATTTCCATTGTTTCTAATAGTGACATTTCTAGTCTGTGTTTCTAGTCTACTCTCCCTCCTTTCCTCCATACTTTCTGCCCAGAACTGCTTAAGCCAACCAGCAAAAGACAAAGGAAGAACTGATTAGTCTGAGCTCTCCTGGTCCCTGATTTGTTTGATTTCCTTCCCTCCCTCCATGGTTTCTGCCCAAAATGTCTGCTGCCTACCAGCAAAACTCAAAACAAGTAAGGAAGTGGACAAACTCCGGCTGTTCAGATACCTGAATCAGCCGTTTGTGTAGCAAGGTTTGGGTATAATTCTTTGTGTTCAGATAAAATTTTGGATAATGAGCATTTCAAGAGCAGGACCTGCGTGTACTTAGTATTTTGCCATTGTGCCTGCACCTCTTCATGCTGGGATTCTCAAGGTATGAGGTATGAACAGACCACATGTGGACTATGTGCCGCTGCCTTGAGCTAATCCATTCCAATGCTTTATGTATCATGCTTCCATTTAACAGATTGTGAAAGCTGGCTTAGTGTTGGCATTGTTTGGAGGCTGTCAAAAGTATATGGATGATAAAAATCGGATTCCTATTCGAGGAGACCCTCATCTTCTGGTGGTTGGAGATCCAGGACTGGGGAAGAGTCAGATGTTGCAAGTATATTCATTTATTAATAAATAGTGTTTATTTGTTGTTGTTTTTACCGACATCCAAGGTGTTTTTTAAAAGTATACTTTAGCCGTTTCAATCTGAATGCAGGGAAAAGATGTACCCGTATTTTTCGCTCTATAACACGCACCAGATCATAACACGCACGTAGTTTTTAGAGGAGGAAAACAAGAAAAAAAATATTCTAAACGAAATAGTGGATGTATGATTTTTGTGGTTCATGCTGTGGCCACAGACATGTGATCTGACAGTGAGTTTGGAGTAGCCCAATGCAAAAATCCTGAGGATCCATGTGGATCCATGCTTTGTAACCATGGAGGAGGGAAGGAAGGGGAACCATGGATCCTCTGCTCACGACTGCAGCAGATCCCCCCTGCCACCCGCAGGCATTCGCTCCATAACACGCACAGACATTTCCCCTTGCTTTCTAGGAGGAAAAAAGTGAATGTTATGGTGCAAAAAATATGGTATATTCTTCAATGGGGATGTTGTTCTTTTTAGTATAAGTAAATGCATAGCATGCAAAACTAGCCTTTACCATTTGTTTCTTAGGCTGTATGCAATATTGCACCTCGTGGTGTGTATGTGTGTGGCAATGCGACGACTGCAGCTGGTCTGACTGTAACTCTGTCCAGAGACAGTTCTTCTGGAGATTTTTCTTTGGAAGCTGGTGCCCTTGTGCTTGGAGATCAAGGTACTATAGAAGTGATCCTCTCTGTAGCTGGAAACTTTGAGCTAATGCATAATCCCTTCAGCTGGTAGCTGGTATGGTACATTACCTTGTTAGTTCTAGAAATCTTATAAAAACTGTGGCTGTAGCCTTCAAAGCACTTTTTCACATTGACTTTGCTACCACAACACAGACGGCTATAACTAGTCCATTCCTCATTTGTGATCTTGTAGGAAGTTAGTTGCTTTCCCTACCTTTTCCGTCTGGGTATTTGATACTCTACTAGAAGATGATCCAGCTCACAGGGTCGGCAGAATACTTACAGTACCATGGTGATTGGCTGAATTAGGGTGGCCAGTTGCAAATGAGGACAGGTCTAAACACACACACACACACACACACACACACACACACTCTCTCTCTCTCTCACTCACACACACACACACACACACTTTATTTAATTTTCTGTTTTACAATTTAAAATACTCATTTTACATCCTTAAGATATCAGTGACTTCCTTTCTTCTCTTTCCATGGTTCATTTTAATCCCTGGTTTAATCCCATGGTTCATAATAAATCCCTGCATATTTTACAAAAACAATACCATTCAGTATTCCCTTATTACATCCATCAAAACTTATTTACACTGTTGAATTTATCTTAATGCTGCCAGCGTTTCCAGCTATATACAATTATTTCCCATATAGTCAATAAACGTTTTCCAATCTGCTTTAAACGTATGTTCTTCTTGTTCTCTTATTCTACAGTGGTGCCTCGCAAGACGAAATTAATTCGTTCCACGAGTTTTGTCGTCTTGCGATTTTTTTCGTCTTGCGAAGCACGGTGTCGGGAAAGTTTCGGAAAAGCTTCAAAAATCACCAAAGTCTTTAAAAACCTCAAAAAAGGCTACCACACCACGTTCTATGAGTTGCTCCTCGAAGTCAAGTCGCAACTGTATTAACAGTGTTAAGAAAAAGGAAACAAACTTGCAAGAGGTTTCCATCTTGCGAAGCAAGACCACAGGGAAAATCGTCTTGCGAAGCAACTAAAAAAATAAAAAAACCCTTTCGTCTAGCGAGTTTTTTGTCATGCGAGACATTCGTCTTGCGAGGTACCACTGTATATGCTAAGTCTGCAAGTTGTGCATATTCTGTCAACTTCAGTTGCCGTTCTTCTTTGTTTGGGACCTTGCTTGTGTTCCATTTGGGGGCTAACAAAACATAGGTCACAGTAGGGGCATACATAAACAACCTTTTTTGACACCTGGGAATTTCAGCCCTAATTATCCCCAACAGAAAGGACTCTGGTTTTGGGGGGAAAGTACTTTTAAAGTACTTTTTAGGAACGCAGGTGGCGCTGTGGGTTAAACCACAGAGCCTAGGACTTGCCGATCAGAAGGTTGGCGGTTTGAATCCCCGCAACGGGGTGAGCTCCCGTTGCTCGGTCCCTGCTCCTGCCAACCTAGCAGTTCGAAAGCACGTCAAAGTGCAAGTAGATAAATAGGTACCGCTCCGGCGGGAAGGTAAACGGAGTTTCCATGCGCTGCTCTGGTTCGCCAGAAGTGGCTTAGTCATGCTGGCCGCATGACCCGGAAGCTGTACGCCGGCTCCCTTGGCCAATAAAGCGAGATGAGCGCCGCAACCCCAGAGTCAGCCACGATTAGACCTAATGGTCAGGGGTCCCTTTACCTTTACCTTTACTTTTAAACATTTTCCCCCAATTCATTATGGATCATTTCCCAATACTCCTTTACCCTTTTACAAGTCCACCACATATGAAAGAACGCTCCCTCTACCTCTTTGCATCTCCAGGTCTTCTACACTTTCTATAGTTTTGAAAATGAGGGAATTTCATCAGGCATAGCTTGTCATGCAGGTCCTCTTCTGCATCGGACCATTCTAGTCTGCATCAAGTTCCCCTTCTTTTCAAGTAGATGATCACTGCTGGCTTTACTGCTGGCACTGATAATCTGATGGGTGGGTTGGCATGAGTAACTGTATGTGTGCAGCCCACTTCAATGCCTGCGGACCCTGACAGTGGCAAATGCTAAAGTTTGCCAGAACCTATTGCCATGCTTTTTCTAAACACACACATTCAAATAGAGATTGCATAGCTCCAGTTGTAGAAAGTGCTGGTTCAAACAAGTTTTTGGCGCATCGCCTTCACTCTCTGCTGCCTTTCACTTATCCAGTTTATGACTGTACGGGAATGACACCTCTCTTTTTGTCATTTTCTTTTTCAGGCATTTGTGGAATAGATGAGTTTGATAAGATGGGTAACCAGCACCAAGCCTTGCTGGAAGCTATGGAACAGCAAAGCATCAGCCTCGCCAAGGCTGGTATTGTTTGCAGTTTGCCAGCGAGGACGTCAATCATAGCGGCTGCAAATCCAGTTGGGGGACACTACAACAAGGCCAAAACAGTATCTGAGAATTTAAAGTAAGTACTTCTAAAATGCATGCATCAGAAAGAAAGAAGGGGGGATTTTATTTTATTTTTTCATTTTAAAAATGACTTTTAAGTCTGCATCACTGATTTTTGTTTCTGGAGGGAATTACTTATTTCTCCTTTTAAATGTTCAATGTGAATACTCTCCCCACCCCCTTTTTTGCTGAATGTTGTAAAATTCTGAACAAAAAGCAAACAGATTACGGTACTTTTCTGTGTATAACACGCCCCCATGTATAAGATGCCCCTATTTTTGGGGACTAAAAATTAAGAAAATGGGGGAGATTGCCCAGAGTTGTTGAGATTTTTTACGGGGGGACGGGGACGGGGAGGGTTTGCCAAAAACCACTCTCCTCACAACAATACAAACCCAACACGTAGGCTAATAGTTAGTAGAAAATATATAATATAATAATGATATTCATTATTCTATTATATATTTTCTACTAACTATTAGCCTACATGTTGTACAGTGGTACCTTGGGTTAAATACTTAATTCGTTCCGGAGGTCCGTTCTTAACCTGAAACTGTTCTTAACCTGAAGCACCACTTTAGCTAATGGGGCCTCCTGCTGCCGCCGCTCCGCCGGAGCACGATTTCTGTTCTCATCCTGAAGCAAAGTTCTTAACCTGAAGCACTATTTCTGGGTTAGTGGAGTCTGTAACCTGAAGCGTATGTAACCCAAGGTACCACTGTATTTGTATTGTTGTGATTGAAAATCACTCACCTGCCTGGCCCAACGCTAACACTCGCATGCGTCGCAACAGCCTCCTAACGTCTGTCTCCTCACTGGCTGAAACAGTCTATTGCCCACCCAATTGCCGCAGCAACGCCCAGTCAACACCACCCCTTGCCACAGACACCAATGACACGCGACATACCATCTCCAGCTCGTGGCATCAACCAATCCCACGTCCCCCCCAGGCACTACCCATGTACAAGACGACCCTCTATTTTAAACATAATTTTTCGGTAAAAACACCTAGTCTTGTACACAGAAAAGTATGGTACAGTGGTACCTCGGGTTAAGTACTTAATTCGTTCCGGAGGTCCGTTCTTAACCCAAAACTGTTCTTAACCTGAAGCACCACTTTAGCTAATGGGGCCTCCTGCCACCACGCCGCCGGAGCACAATTTCTGTTCTTATCATGAAGCAAAGTTCTTAAACTTAAGCACTATTTCTGGGTTAGCGGAGTGTGTAACCTGAAGCGTATGTAACCTGAAGCGTATGTAATCCGCTACAATTTGAACTGTATGTTCAAATTGATGTAAACTTGTATATAGAATTTCTTCTTCTGAAGAGACCTCAAATTATTTTGAATTCTCCACACTATGTTTTCAGGTATGCTTTAGAAAGAGTGTACCCAGGGGTATGTGTGTGTGTGTGTGTTTAAGAACATGCACTGTACTTGGGGGTTTTTCTTTCCCTGTAGAATGGGGAGCGCTTTATTGTCGCGATTTGACTTGGTGTTCATACTGCTGGATATACCGAATGAAGATCATGACTACCTGCTTTCCGAACACGTGATGGCAATGCGAGCAGGAAAACAGACTGGGTGCAGCAGTGCTGTAGTGCTTCGCGCGAGCTCTCAGAATTCGAACATATCAGTCCTTGAAGCCGTTTCAGACAAACCGTTGTTGGAAAGATTAAAGGTAGTACATACTGTTCAGATTTCCTGGCCCTATACCATCTTATCTCTCTAGGCAATGATCAGCGTCTCCCATGAAATGAATTCTAGGAGCTCGCTACTTCATTTTTTCTCCTGTTTTTGTTAAGTACAGTGGTACCTCACAAGACGAATGCCTCGCAAGACGGAAAACTCGCAAAACGAAAGGGTTTTTGTTTTTTGAGTTGCTTTGCAAGACGATTTTCCCTATGGGCGTGCTTCGCAAGACGGAAACGTCTTGCAAGTTTGTTTCCTTTTTCTTAAAACCGTTAATACAGTTGCGACTTGACTTCGAGGAGCAACTCATAGCACGCGGTGTGGTAGCCTTTTTTGAGGTTTTTGAAGACTTTGGTGATTTTTGAAGCTTTTCCAAAACTTTCCCGAAACCGTGCTTCGCAAGACGAAAAAAACCGCAAGACGAAAAAACTCGCGGAACGAATTAATTTCGTCTTGCGAGGCACCACTGTATCCAGATTGTTACTGTATCTAAATGGGGTTTTCACATCCAAGTCTGAATTTTGTTGTAATGAAAAGAAAGGCAAAGTTTGATTGCAGGAAATGCTTCCTGAAACTGGGCACCACAGGGAGATTTCTGTTATCAATACCAGATTTAGATATAATTTTTATTGTGAGGGTTTTTGTAAGCCCCTTTTTGAGAGACCCTTTGTCAGGGACTGTGCTGAGGAGGGCTGCACTGGGGAGAAATGGTGGAGACCCTCCTCCCCATCTCCCTGATCCTGAATCTTCCCAGAAGCAGTGGGACAATATAGATTTGGAACAGCGGTTTGCAGAGGGACATAGTTCAGAAGGCAGAAGTTGGGAAGAACTGGGTGGTGAACAGCTAGGAGAAGAAGAACTGGGTGAGAGAGAGTTAACAGACTCACTTTCCCTGGAAAGATCAAGGAGAGCAGATAAGGTGGCAGTACAGAAAGCACAGTGGTTGTGAGATCAGGTTGCCAGATGCGGAAGTGACGTGGATGACTAGGGGGGAAGTGGGTGGAACCCTTAATTGGGAGCAACTTCATCCCTAGGAATGGATTCTTTGTTCTCTCGTTGTGATCATTAAAATTTCTAACTGGTAAGAGACTCCTTTCGCTTTGTTCTGCTTATCTACTGCCAAAGGGTGGATGGGTGGGGAGCCGAATCCCTGAAGCCTGACACCCTTGGGGAATATAAAGCAGGATATAAGTATTCAAAATAAATGAAGCCCGTGTTTGTGTATAAGTAGCTGGGACTCTCAAGTGCCCTGTGTGGTGGCCTGCTCGTGTACGGGGGATTTTCAGCTCCCCGCTTCCCAGCAACTGCCCCTCTCGCCAACTCCCAGTTCCTCTGATGATATCCCATAAAGTACAAAGATCTGCCAGTGGATGGAAGTCTATCATCCTCCCCTGCTTGCACAAAAACACTTTCCATTTACACCCAGGATGGGAAGCTGGATCCCTGCCATTGTGTTTGCTATATAGCATTTCAGCGTTCAAAGCGTTTTTACATGTGTTACAGCCATTCTCACAATCTACCCTGTGTTGTGAGGATCTGTGAGGCAGAGTGACTTACATGAGGTAATAATAATAATAATAATAATAATAATAATAATAATAATTTATTATTTATATCCCACCCATCTGGCTGGGCTTCCCCAGCCACTCTGGGCGGCTTTCAACAAAATATTAAAATACCGTAATATATCAAACATTAAAAGCTTCCCCAAACAGGGCTGCCTTCAGATGTCTTCTAAAAGTCTGGTGGTAGTTGTTGTCTTTGACATCTGATGGGAGGGCATTCCACAGGGCAGGTGCCACTACCGAGAGGTCCTCTGCCTGGTTCCCTGTAACTTGGCTTCTCACAGTGACGGAACCGCCAGGAGGCCCTCGGCGCTGGACCTCAGTGTCCGGGTAGAACGATGGGGGTGGAGACGCTCCTTCAGATATACTGGACTGAGGCCATTTAGGGTTTTAAAGCTCAGCACCAACACTTTGAATTGTGCTCGGAAACGTACTGGGAGCCAATGTAAGTCTTTCAAGACCGGTGTTATGTGGTCTCAGCGGCCGCTCCCAGTCAACAATCTAGCTGCCGCATTCTGGATTAGTTGTAGTTTCCGGGTCACCTTCAAAGGTAGCCCCAAGTAGAGCGCATTGCAGTAGTCCAAGCGGGAGATAACCAGAGCATGCACTACTCTGGCGAGGCAGTCCGTGGGCAGGTAGGGTCTCAGCCTGCGTACCAGATGGAGATGGTAAACAGCTGCCCTGGACACAGAATTGACCTGTACCTCCATGGACAGCTGTGAGTCCAAAATGACTCCCAGGCTGCGCACCTGGTCCTTCAGGGGCACAGTTACCCCATTCAGGACCAGGGAATCCTCCACACCCGCCCGCCTCCTGTCCCCCCAAAACAGTACTCCTGTCTTGTCAGGATTCAACCTCAATCTGTTAGCTGCCATCCATCCTCCTACCGCCTCCAGACACTCCCACAGGACCTTCACTGCCTTCACTGGGTCTGATTTAAAAGAGAGGTAGAGCTCTCAGCCATTGTATTTGCTATATAGCATTTCAGCGTTCAAAGCGTTTTTACTTGTGTTACAGCCATTCTCACAATCTACCCTCTGTTGTGAGGATCTGTGAGGCAGAGTGACTTACATGAGGTGAGAGACTTCAGCCTAGGTCTCTCAAGTTTCTCACTCCCACTCTTACCTGTGGGAGCCACAGTGGTTCAAATCTGATGGCACTGTCCACTTCCGCCGCTAAGCGGAATGCCAAAATACCTAAAGCGTGTTTTCAATCGTCAGGTCATTCCAGGAGAAAATTTTGACCCAGTTCCGCACCAGCTGTTGAGGAAGTATGTTGGCTATGCCCGTCAGTACGTGCACCCCACGCTATCTCCAGAGGCTGCTCAGGTCCTCCAGGAATTCTACCTTCAACTCCGACAACAAAGCCAAAGAGCAGACAGCACACCTATCACCACACGACAGTTGGAATCGTTGATACGTCTTACCGAGGTTTCCTTTCATTTTATATTTCTTGCCGCTTGGATTTCTTGCAGTAGGAAAGTTTTGCCAAGTGACAGACTGCCCTAATGCTAGTGATTTTAATGTGGGCGTTGGGAGGCAGCGCAAATATTTTCTTTTTTTAAAAAACCTAATTTAAATAAATAGATGTACAGTGGTACCTCAGGTTAAGTACTTAATTCGTTCGTTCTTAACCTGGAACTGTTCTTAACCTAATGCACCACTTAAGCTAATGGGGCCTCCTGGTGCTGCGCCGCCGGAGCACGATTTCTGTTCTCATCCTGAAGCAAAGTTCTGAACCTGAAGCACTATTTCTGGGTTAGTGGAGTCTGTAACATGAAGTGTATGTAACCTGGAGCGTATGTAACCTGAGGTACCACTGTAATTCCATCAAACTGGTGGGACTGGATTTGGATCAAATGTGAGTTGCCAGATTCTTGAGATTCCAGGAGAGCCAGGAAAACTCTCACCATCTTTTTTTTATTAAAAAAACAAACACTTCTACCATCTTTTTCTGTAAAGAAAATTGAGGATACTAAAAGTTAACACTCGAAGCTACCAGCATGAGTTTGACCAAACTGCGGGAGGCAGTGGAAGACAGGAGTGCCTGGCGTGCTCTGGTCCATGGGGTCATGTAGAGTCGGACACGACTAAATGACTAAACAACATAGTTAAGAAACTGGGCTCAGCCATGTTCGCTGTCTTCCGTTTCTTGAATGGCTTCCTCATACATCCCTTGTAACTTTAGCCTCAAAGTAGAGATAAAATTTAATGCCTCATGCTGGACGTTATTCCAGAAAAGATCTCGCAAACATAGAGATATTCCACTGGATATCTCACTTTTTAAATACGATTCTGCTGGTGTAACCCGGATTATCCGTTCTTTCAATATCTTGTGGCTGATTCAACTTTACTTTTCTCTCCCCAATCCATTACATTGATACGCTAAGCTGCCTTTGTTCCAAGAAAGGAGTTCAGTGATGTGCTCTTTTGAATCATTTCTTCAACACAAGCATTTCAGCTTGCTAAGTGGAACAATCCCCATTCTTCCTCTTTAATTTTAAACTATATGAAACTGCCTTAAACTGGGTCATGCCACTGAATCCTCTAGCCCAGCATTACTTATTCCATCTGTCAGTGGTTCTCCAAGGTCTTGGCACAGGGACATTTCCCAGGTTGGTTACTTGATGTCCTTTAAGTAGAGACGCCAGGGAATAAACCTGGGGCTTTGTGTACGAAGCATGTGTTCTCAGCCAGCACTGATGGAGTTCTGTTCTGTTCTGTTCTCTCCTAAATGCCACAAAATTCAGCAGCTTTGCTGAACTATATCCACATTCAAACTGAAAAATGTAGTGCGTATTTGCCTGTATTTTTCAGCTGCTGATGTAAACTCCTTTCACGTAGCTTTTCTGATCTGAATAAATTAGGGAGGAGACGAGGTTGGTTATTGCAAAGGGTTATAGCTGACTAAATCCCACTTGGAGTACCCATTGAAGTCAATGGACTTAAGTTAATCAGGCCCCTATATTTCAGCAGGGCTACTTTCGAGTATGACTTGGGTAAAACCCATTTTAATTTTAATTATTGTTTGTTTGTTTAAGGCACGGTCAAGGTTAGAATTAAAAGAAAAGGCCACCAAAGAAGACGCTGAAGATGTCATAGAAATAATGAAATACAGGTAGTATGCACCAGAATAAGACTCAATTTACAGCAAACCAAAGGTCTGCGGGGCTCTTTTGCACACCTGGTGGTGCTTTTATTTATTTCAGTGATATGTACACATTTTCCTGCAGGGAGGAGGGGATCCTCAACTGGGCTGTCCCTCCACTCACTGTACTGGGCAGGAATATGCAAACTGAGCTACTCAAATTCAGTGGCTCCAATGTTCACAGTAGGTCCAATGTCACATTCCCCATTGGGTACAGGGAGCTGTTTTCTACACTAGAATGGAGGGAGAAGCCATGGATGTTGGCAGGTGGGGGAGAGCTCTAATTGATCAATCCACTGGTGATTCCCTGCAGAAAATGAACAACAGTTTCAAGCTTGCTCTTATGGTTAACTCTTCCAAAGGCACTTCTCTGCCTAGTTTTACGCCTTCATTGTTTATTGATGTTTCTGTGTGTTTCTTCTTCAAGCATGTTAGGAACTTACTCCGATGAGTTTGGGAAGTTGGATTTTGATCGTTCGCAACACGGTTCCGGAATGAGCAACAGGTCGCAAGCAAAGAGGTTTGTTTCTGCCCTTCATCGTATTGCAGAAAGAACCTACAACAGCCTTTTTGAGGTTCAACAGCTGCGGCAGATTGCAAAGGAAGTAAATATAAAAGTAAGTAAAAATAAAATTTTGTATTTGGAAAGGATTAAGTTTGATATTGGAATTATCAATTGGAAAAACAAGTTCTGTTCTCAGCATCTGTTCTTCCGTGGTTCAGAGGACTTTAAACATATTGCTCCAGCTCTGATGGCTGAACTTTGCCTATGCATTTAGAAATTGTATTTGAGATTGGTTGCCCTACTAATATATCATCTAACATCAGCGCCGCAAACTTTGTTGTTACTGAAACTTGCCTTTCTTCTTTAACAGCCTGACATCTGTGAACTATCTTGAAGTGTGTTGCAATTTCTGCAGATTTTATTTTTTTCCTGCAGTATTTCGCTGTGTGAACACTGACAATTGTATAGATAACTTAGGACAGTCAGAGAGAGTTGTGCCCTGCTGCACTCTAACTAGAGAATGACTAGAAAATGATCTCTTAAAAAAAAAAAATTAAACAAGGTGCTCCAGATGAAGGCTTGTATTAGCTTAGGTGAATTTTTGATCCCTCCACCCTTTCACACAGCAGATACTTGTGTCACAAATTGTTTTTGAAATTCCCTTCTGGATGAAAAATATTTAAATAGTTTAAATATCAACTTCTTGTGAGGAAAGAGGCTTACAGCATAATGTGTAGTGTTTTGTCTCTCCAGATAATAAACTTTGTGTGATTCTTCCAGGTAGCTGACTTTGAAAACTTCATTGGCTCTTTAAATGATCAAGGTTATTTCTTGAAAAAAGGTCCAAGGCTGTATCAGCTTCAAACTATGTGAAGGAATTCAGCAACCAAAGTAACTGAGTTTTTGGAAGAGGATCAGTAGAACACAACACGATACTCTGTTAAGGCTACCAAGGCTTAAATGAAAGACCTTTTAAAAAAATCAGTACTTTGTTACACCAGGTGGTACAAAATATGTGAGAAACCTGCTCAGATAGGTTATTATTATAATGGAGAAAATGACTTCAGCTGCCATTTCAAAGTCATGTAAATAAGTAGAACTTAAACAAGAAGTGAAACTTATGCGTTGTTTTAAGATCCCATCTTCAAATGGCACTGCAAGAATGTTAATCCAACATGTTTAATTGCAACTGCAATGATTAAAAATGCTTTGCATATTCTCATGTTGCATTCTGCAGTAAACACATTGGCTCTATGCAGACAAGCAGAAACATACAAGTGTGTTTTGTGTTCACAAAAGGCTTCCTTTTGGTTTATGTGTGGTAGTTTTCAGAGGTGAGTTGTGCTGCTGGTCTGCTTGCTGTTAGATCTTGTGTTCCCCACTCGTTCCTTTCGCTGTTTTGCGTGTCGGTTGAAAAGGCTTCCTTTTCAGTTTTTATCTCAGTTCGTAAAAGTGTGTAACTCATTCATGATTCTTGTATGAGTGATTGCCTTTTAAAATGTTCATTTTGAAAACTTGGGCACACTAGTAGTGAATTGATATTTTGTTTAAATACAACAACTGATGCACTCAGTAATTATATTGGGTTGCATCCAACCAAGGTATGCTTGGGTTAGATTCATTGGATTTAAAGTTAGTCATGTCCATTCATTTCAATGGATCTATTCTAAGTGTAGCTAATATTGGATGCAACCCATAATATTTAGCATGGTTTTAAAAAAGGGAGAGAAAGTGTGTCAAGTGAAGGAAACGTGATTTTGAAATAGTTCTATATTGTATTGAAATTATCATTGGCTGATAGCCAGTTTCATAGGCAGGTTTTGAAGATTGTAAGACTGCTTACAATCAACCATAGGCTTGGGAATACCAGAGAAATTTCCAGCACAGGGCACTAATACTGTTTTAGAATGCTATTATTTTTCCATTACATTTGTATAGAAAAGGAAGGTATCAGCTGTGATTTACACCCATGAATGTATTGAATTTGCTTATGGGTAGAATAGGAATACTTTGTGCCATTCCCCATGTTGTGCCTACCTATTGCTGGTTAGGTAGAAGAGGAGGGTTGGGTCTTGCGTGATCATTTGGGAATAGTAGACCATTGCTGTTCAAGTGAATCACAGCCTGAACTAAGGCGGCTCACAACAACAGCATTGCCACCATACAAACATACAGTAAAAAGTTAAGGGATGCATGGTTGGGTTAAAGCTGCAGCCCTTGTCTTCAAAGGTTTAATATTACTCATGTAGACAGTCCTGTAGCCTTTGAATTGATCAGGTACTTTTGCTGCGTCCTTAGAAGTATCTTAAATTCAGAAAGAAACCAATCTGCTGACATTTTAAAATTATGGACAGAGTCAACACCTCCCTCCACAACCTGCTGTTACGTTCATCTATTTATTTGTGTGCAATAAAGCTATTCTGTTTTGTTTTAAGCATTCGTTTATTGCTTTCTGTGAATAAAGCTATTTTTTAAAGGAAAACACTGTTACATTTTTTTGTTCAATGGTTTGAGTAAAAAGGTAAAGGGACCCCTGACCATTAGGTCCAGTTGTGACCGACTCTGCGGTTGCGGCGCTCATCTCGCTTTATTGGCCGAGGGAGGCGGTGTACAGCTTCTGGGTCATGTGGCAAGCATGACTAAGCTGCTTCTGGCGAACCGGAGCAGCGCACGGAAACGTTGTTTACCTTCCCACCGGAGCGGTACCTATTTATCTGCTTGCACTTTGACGTGCTTTCGAACTGCTAGGAGCTGGGATCGAGCAACGGGAACTCACCCCGTTGCGGGGATTTGAACCGCCGACCTTCTGATCGGCAAGTCCTAGGCTCTGTGGTTTAACCCACAGTGCCACCCATGGTTTGAGTACAATAAAGCTATTTTTAAAAACTCAAACCATTTATTGCTTTGATTAAATAGTCATTTATTAGTTTGCATGCCACAAAGCTATTTTTTATCATGACTTCCATTTTAGGCGTTAAGCTCTGGATACCTAAAAGAAACAAAAACCCCACCAGCTGGCTTTGGCGACCGGAAAAGCGTCAAAACAGCGCGCTGCCCCGCACAGGCTGCGTCCTGACGTTCTCCCACGTGCTGCGACGCTCCGTCTCCTAAGCAACGTCACCGCAGGTAGGGAGCTCCGCCGTAAAGCGCGGCGCTGTCGCGAAAGGCAACGTAAAGCGCCGCTCTGAGGCGAAAGGCCCGGCCCGGCCTAAGTTGAATGGAGGGCGAGGAGGAGGCGGCGGCGGCCGGCGGTGGGGGCAGCAGCCGGGGAGGAGGAGCCGCCGCTGCCGCCCCTCAGCGTCGTCGCCGTGGTTCTCCTCAGAGCGGGCGGAGAGGCCAGCCATGTTGCCCGCGGCCTGGCTGGCCAAGGGCGGCGCCTGCGGCTGGCGGTTCCTGAGGGGCGCCAACCCCGCCAGGGCGCGCCGGGGACTCCTCTGCCGGGCGCCGCTCGCCGCCTCCCCTCACCGCCTGCTGCGCCCCACGGGCTCCCGGCAGCAGCAGCAGCTGCTGGCCTGGTCTTGGCCGCGACGCGGGGTCGGAGGGCCCGCGGGGAACTCGGAGCGCGGCGCCGGGAAAGCCAGGCCTCCCCGCGGATACGCCGAACTGGTAAGGGGAGAAGCGCGCCCCCCTCGCCGAAGCAGGCGGCCTCGGTCTGGGGCTTCGCGGCCACTCGAGGCCCCGGGTGCGGCCCATAGCGCCTCCACAGCAACAGGGTCAAGGGGAGCACGCACAAAAAAGACACACCGCCGCCACAAACCGAATTTCCGGCACTTGGCAAACCCGAGGAAGGTTTCGCCCTGGTTTTACTACGTTCAAGAAAGGTTTTGGAGGGGCTTTTTGCCTTCCTCCCTCCATATGTGAAATGTCAGCGCGTGGATCAAATTGGGTCAGTTGGGTTCCCTGCGATGGTTAGAACACTAGGAGATCCCCAATTTTTTTACAATCGGGCTCAAGGAGGGTCTGGGCTGGGCTACTTCTGCAGGAATGTTCTTGAATATTGAAAGAGTTGCTACCTTTGTATGGACTCCTCTCCTTGACCTGCTAATTCTCTGGCCTGGGAAGGTTTTTTTTTGTATAGGTCCAGGATATCGGATACAGCAGACCCCCCAATATGTCCCTATTTTCCAGGGACGGCCTTGATTTAGAGAAGCCGTCCCGGTTTCTGATTTGATCCCGAAATGTTCCACTTTTCCTTAGGATCTCCCTATTTTCGTTGGAGAAATGTTGGAAGGTATGGTAGGATGTCCCTATTTTCACTGGAGAAATGTTGGAGGGTATGGAGTTATCGGATCCCCGAGCCATCTGAAGGCAATCCTGTATAGGGAAGTGTGGTCGTCCCCCCCCCCCCAATTTTTTTTAATTGCTTTTAACAGATATAACATATAAAACATACAAAAGAGAGAACATTATAATACTAAGAGAGAGAAAACAAAAATAAAAACACATATTCCTTCTAAAGTTCATTTTAAATTCCATTATTAACTGACTTCCTCAAATCCCCCCTAACTGTATTTCATTGTATCACCTTGTCGCAGTTCTCCAAAATCATCTTTCTACTACAATTTACTCCTTCAATTTACTATCTTCATCTCTTTTCTTATTGACTTAAATCTATATTACTGTACAACATTCTTATTCTAATCCTTAGGCTATTTGATACTTTCAAGTACCTTCTAATTATCTTATATTTAGGGAAGTTTTTTAAAATGTTCTTATATACAGTGGTACGTCAGGTTACATACACTTCAGGTTACAGACTCCGCTAACCCAGAAATATTACCTCGGGTTAAGAACTTTGCTTCAGGATGAGAACAGAAATTGTGCTCTGGCGGCACGGCGGCAGCAGGAGGCCCCATTAGCTGAAGTGGTGCTTTAGGTTAAGAACGGACCTCCGGAACGAATTAAGTACTTAACCCGAGGTATCACTGTATGTTGGAAGCTGCCCAGAGTAGCTGGGGCAACTCAGTAAGATGTGTGGGGTAGAAATAGAATTATCATTCTGGGATGGGACATCCCTATTTTCATTGGAGAAATATTGGAGGGTATGTGAACACACAGGCTTGTATACAGGCTGCCTGCCTCAGGAAGAGCTTGGCTTCCCTTTCTATCGTGTACCAGTCTCATTGTAGTGATGAGTGAAAACGTCTTTCCCACTGACCTTAGAGAAACTCCTTCCCCTTACTATTTTGGGCACACTCCAGGATCTCTTCATTGGGAAATTCTAATAATGTGTTCTGCAGTGTTTGTCCTGGACTTGTTTCCACCTGTGCATGAAATGACTTCCTTTGTAGGTCTGCCAGATTGCCTGATGGAGACTGACATCAGCGGTACCAAGTGCTCCCTTTGCAGTCTGGTGCAGATCCAAAGAGAAAGCGGTTCAAACTACTCCATAATCATGTCAGGTTCCAACCCCATGTGATTAAGAACTCTTGCAGTTGTTAAGTTTGGAAAGTTTTATGCTTAGCTTTCCGTATACAGTAGTTAAGAACTTAATTCGTTACGGAGGTCCGTTCTTACCTGAAACTGTTCTTAACCTGAAGCGCTACTTTAGCTAATGGGGCCTCCCGCTGCCACCGCGCTGCTGCTGCGCAATTTCTGTTCTCATCCTGAAGCAAAGTTCTTAACCCGAGGTAATATTTATGGGTTAGCGGAGTCTGTAACCTGAAGCGTATGTAACCTGAAGCATATGTAACCCGAGGTACCACTGTATAAGCTTATACTTGCTTGTGGAGATGGAAGAAAGAAGCAGCTGCTTCAGTAAAAAAAATGCATTTTGAGATCTTAAAATTGGCTATTGCGACCTTCTTTATTTCCCCATTTCAAATATTCAGAAATTATATTATTATGGATATAGGCCATTCATGTTTATTGGAAGACTTATTCATGTGCAGGACCTTGTTTCCATATGGAGAATTGAAACATACCAATGGAGTGAAGAAGTAGAAGAGTTATTGCATGGCTGCAATTACAGCTGACCAGTGATGTAATGGTGTATAAACATCAACCCAGCAGTTTCTTTACAAGCTGCTATGCACATAGGTGGTTGCAGATGCCTGTTTCAAACGCACATAGAATCATAGAGTTGGAAGGGACCCCAAAGGTAATCTAGCCCAATCCCCCACAATTCAGGAATCACAGCTAAAAGGTGGCCATCCAACCTCTGTTTAAAAAATCTCCAGTGAAGAGAGTACATTAGTGACCACTGTGTTTAAGTAGTAGCTTGAACATAAGAAGACATCATAGGTCATTACAGAAAACTTCCTTCCAGCCTGCTATTTTCAGTGGAGCCAATTCATACATTCAGTTATGAATAAGAAAGAAAGCAATGTGCGAATTGGCTCTGAAGTGAATGGTCATTCTTTACATGGGGATTTGCTTATTTGAAAATATTTTATGTCAAAATATCACTTCAGATTCTAAACAGGGAAGACTTTCTCTAGGGCATTATTTTCACATGTGTCCCTTATAGTACAGTCCTAGCCATGTCTACCTATAAGTAAGTCCTATTGTTTCAGTGCAGCTTACTTCCAGGTAAGCAGGGTTAGGATTGCAGTCTTAGCCATCTGAATGTGTTTTCCCATTTTGGGGGGGTATTGTTTATGTGTAGCCTTTCCTCGCCTGCTTTTCATTCTAAAAGCTAAAATCAATACCCAAGCAGACTGAGTTCAGGTAATGTGTATTTGATTTTGAATAAGCTTACTTCCTGTTGTTTTGTTCTTTCCAGTATGAAAACCCCTGGACAATTCCTAATTTACTCTCAATGGCAAGGATTGGCCTGGCACCGGTTTTGGGCTACTTGATTGTTGAAGAAAATTTCAATATTGCATTGGGTGTATTTACTCTGGCTGGAATAACAGATTTGGTAAGTTTTAGCATACCATTTTGAAACTTTTTACAGAAGAAATGAGAATGTCGTTCAGTTTAGTTTTTCTACATCTTTTTATTTTATAGGAATAATATGATTCAATAGGTAAAGAGAGAATTTTCTGTTCTTTTCGTTTGCAGCTTAAGAGAAGAGACTGGCTATGTTGAAACCTACTTTTTATAATTTTCTTGACTGTGTGCTTCTAATCTCTACTTGATTTTTTTTTTTAAGCATGACTTTAACAAACAATTTCCCTAAGAATAAATGCTTGTGTCATTGTACTTGGCCATTATTGTATGCAAGGGGTGCTTCTATTCAGGATGCCAGCCAGTTCTGCCCTCTTTCAGATTGCTGTAAGGAATTTAAGGAGGTCATTTCATTCTCTTGCTTCTCCTCCCCAACCCCTGGTTTATGTTTTTCTTTTCCAATCAAATACTAAATATTTCATAGCTACTGCATATGCTCAGCCCAATATATATATTTGTTATTTCTGCAAGCCTAGGGTACCTCTGTTATGCTAATAGTCTCCTATTGTTTCTCAGTAGCCCCATTTTGATTCCATTCCTGCCAGCCCTCACCACCCAAGTCCTGTCTGAACATGCCTGTACTAATCTTCC